TGGTTTAGCCTGATATTGTTTGAAAGAGTATGCTTTTATTCAACAGTTTCGGAAAGTTAATTTATTATGGTTTTTATAATATTGAACCTTTTCTCTATATTTCAAATTGCTTCGAGCAAGATAATCTGCTGATTGCGTCAGTGATGGCATTATCAATATACCTATTAGGTTTCTGAATCAACATTTAAATTCGCTGCTATTTCTTCGAGTTCATATTGTAGCAGTTTTCTGTTTCGTTCTCGTCGACATATTTTTTAAAGACAAATTTCAATAAAAAAAGTCGGAAAGATTGAAATAAATAATTGGTCACTCAAACACCTTTGGGGTGTCACCAGGTGACCCCAGTTACTTTATCATTTGCTACAACGCTAAAAACTACTAATTTTGTGGCAGCATCTTATCTTGTCCTGCAAAAGACATTAAATAACAAATACCAGAACACTGTCTTGTTAACAAGTCCAAAAGATATGCAAAAGTTTGTAGAGATGGGGTCCTCGAAAGACCCCACATGGGCATCTAAGTGTTAAGTTTGGAGAAAAAAAAATAATTAAATGGAATATTTTCTACATGATAAAATTCTATGTTTTTTTTCTGTGGGATTTGTGAAAATAGAATAATGATAAGAGTTAATAAGTTTTAATTTTCAATTCTAAAATGTTAATTACTCAAAATCTATCAAATTTTACATTATTCAATTTTCACAGTTACTATTAGAAAAAATCAAGGAATTTTTTCATCTAGAAAAGATTCCAATTAATTAAAACATTTTTTTTCAACTTTGGTTTTTAGGGTTTCACTAAGTTTCTGGTATCTAGAGGTGTAGGTGAAAATTTATTTTTAAATTTAAATATTACAAATACGAAAAATGCTATAATTTTGCATGTTTTCTATAGAGAATGATCTAAGTTTTATTCTGAAATAAATTGAATTTGAAACAGAAAATAATTATTAGGTTTATTTTTACAAAAATAGTCGAAAACTGTACATTGAGTCGTTTTCGAGTTACAGATAGATGATTTTATTTTATTTGAAGGTTTTACATGCCACAATAAGTAACGGGACAACAAAAATGAAACTTGGTGTGGTTTTACACTGTACTTACACTAAAATGCCGACATGATAATATCAAAATTGACAGTTTTGTTTTTTTTTTTTTTCAAAAAACAGCTTGAAACACAAATCTGTATTCATTTTTATACTTAGTTGAAAGTCTTCTTCCATCACCATTCGAAGTTTCCCAGATATCTAGTGGCGTAGATGCGAATTTATTTGAAATCGATATGGAATATAAAGAAAAAAAGTTTAAAAAATCTTCTAAATAAAATCTCTAAAATAAAAATTTGTGATATTCAGCCCCCCAGAGCACAAGACGCAAGTCATCATCCGGCATCTGATTACACATCTCCAATCGTGTGAAAAGATAATTCCCAGTGTAATAAAGCGCAGACATCATCATTCGTTACATCCTTAAAATTAGCAGCGAGAAAAATGTGAAACCGGAGGTTGGTCACATCGCAATACCATTGCTATTTTGGAATACATTTCAAAAATAACTTTTCTAAGTCTGTCTTTAAAATCGAAAACACTTTCTACAATGCAGTGACGACAGTCTACTGTATTCAAGTCGCTTATGAAGGTTAATAAGGATACGACCTATTGTACTCGACCTTTGACGAAAAAATCCCAACGGTGATGCTCCAATTTATTAAAATAAAGTTCATGGTATTTGACATCAGTCTCCTGAAAATATTAAAAACAGATGGCTTCATTCGCTACACGTGTCCGAATACAAAATAACATTCTAGTGCGTTTATTTTGAAACGATTCTCAAGAGATTATGATTTTTTAAGGGGACCGATGACTCAACTCGACTAATCTAAATTACGACTTTCTCGCATGTTAACTGGTGTAATCATGAGTCAGTTAGGTAATCTTTAATTAAACCGAAGAATTTGGGTTTTTATGTAATATTTGCAGTAGCAAAAGGGGCAATTAACCGTCTTGATAACACTGACACAAATCCAAGTAATTAACTTTCTTTACTGTTGTGTTTGAACTCAACATTTATTATTGTTTGCTAATTTAGTTGTTAAAAAGTCACAAATCTGGTAGAAAATAATTTAACACTTGAAAGAACACAAATTATTGCTTTCTTGTAAGCATTTCTCTATGTTGCAATTCTTTTTGGTTTATGGGTAATTGATTTACATTCAACGAAGCACTAATTTAATTTATTGGAGGACCCACATAAACGATAGTGTAATTACAGTTTAAGTTGAAATAAATCTAATTTCGATAAACAGGAAAGTGAGTTATCTATGATTCAATTGTCAATACAAATGCTGTTGCAATTCGTTTCCAGGTTTTGAAGAAACCTTGTTGTGGGGGATTTTTTTTTTTTGATAAGATAAGTGTGTTCAAATGCCCATAATTGTGTTATTGTAATTTCTAAACTTATCGAATCGATTGTCGTTTATCAATTACAATTATGTCTATTATTAATGCTTATTTCATTTTAGATTTAATAATAAATTAGGATTGGCTAAATAATGAAATGTTGCAAAATTAACAATAATACTAACTAACTATAATAGACTGTTGAGTGATGTTTCTCTAATTTGATTTGCATAAATTTGAGTTTCATTATCAAACTTACATAATGTAAACTGATGTTTATTAACAATACAGGTCTTCAACCTTTTAAAATTACTTTTATTTTGTTTTTTTTTTCATAAATTAGTAAGAATTTGAATTTTATCATAA